ACCTATAGTGTTAGCTTTTAGTGTCAATATTTATTATTATAATATTTTTTCAACTTCTCAAACATTTTAATTTTAAAAACATCTTAGAGACATGGTGTGAAATCAGTGAGAGCAGATAGAAAATCATCGACTGAGCAATACTCTACGAAAGTTCATTTGGGAGGCACTTTCTACCACCGTCATCCTAAAGTATGCCTCTTTAATTGGGCCGATTAAGGTCTCAATGGCAACTTATCTTTTATAAAAATAAAAAAAAAAAAATAAATTAAAATATACCAATCGGCAGTAGATCGAAATTCCCCAATGAATGACTACCATAATGAATCGCTGATTACATAATTTTTTCGATTATAGCGAAAGAGAGAGATGAGAAGTTGGTGAAATTGTCTTAAGAATAGTTGAGGTCAAATCAAAATCTGTATAACAACCTTAAATAATTAATTCTAAATAAAATTAAAGTTTCGCACAGATGGATATGGCTGAACCATTTCAAAATGTACGACTTATTGAAAATTTGTAAGGCTCAAAATGGTTTTTACAAACGCCTTAACTAAATTTATGTAACCCATGTTTGGATAATAACTAATCGAAATTCGCGTCCTTGACCGTCTACTCTTATCGTGCTTGCATTATGAAACATTGATAGCTATTAGTACAATATATCATTAAAGCAATAATTACAATATTACATTACTATTACGATTTTTATACCCATCACCGATGAGCAGGTGTATTCATTATGTCGAAACGTTTGCAGTGTTCAAAAAAGAACTTCCGAAGCCCCATAATCTATAAACATTCGCGAACGGTGTCAAAGTCTAATGCTTTAAGCACATCCATCCGGCCATCCGTCCGTCTGCTCAATTGTGTAGTATCTGTGGTAAATCTTCTGCCAGATTTGAAAATGACCCAAACCGCTCAAAGGACACTCCTATGCAATGAAAACTGTGAGCAACTTTGCTTTCCGTGGCTTTTGCTTATTACTCATAAAATACTACACATGCACTATATAAATTTCCACTTTTATTGTGAAAATAGAAAAATCCAGCCGCGTCTATCCAATGTTGTAGTGTAAGAAAATTTGGTTCTTTTCCTCCTTTTTAGTCTTTTTTGTAGTAGCCGTGACGGGTATAAGAGATTCGGTCACAATAGGATATAATTTTCTCACTTATTTTTTAGGTTGGGATATAAATAACAATTAAAATAATTATCGGTTTACGCGGTTTATTTAAGAGTCTAAAACCCAAAGATAAATGTCTTCACTTGTTTAAACAGTAACCCAATATATTTATTCCATTCCATTAATAAATAACTTTGGCCTTAAAATTGTAATTATAAGTTGAGCTATCATTAGTAGCAGGTGGAAAGTCAAAACAGGGCGGAAACTAAGTATTAACTGTACGTTACTAATATCTGTAACTTAGGGTCGGTTTATAGTTTCCGAGATCGAAAAGACTCGATCTTAACCTGCATATGTTAGTCATTTTTCGTTCGATACTAAGAAAAATGCTGCATTTATCGACAGCTGTAAACTTTCTGTTAGTTATAGCAAGTCCGTCATCGAAAGCTATCGAGTATACTCAATATCGAAAATCATAAGCCGGGGCCCTGAAAAAAGATAAAATAAAATAACGTTACGTAAAAAATCCGTTTTGCAGTTCGTAAATGCAAAAAAAAAAAAATGAAGTAAATTTTAAAGAAAATAAATTAGTTTTTTTGCTCCTTCTCGAGATTTGCTTCGTAATGGGATTTACTTGACGCGATTCGCTTAAGCTAACGATTGATTGACTCCGTAAGTATTCAAAATAAAACACCCTGTTTTCTTATCCAAGGTGATTAATAAATTAATGTTTCAAATTCATTTCACAACAATGCCCGCGAAGCAAAAATCTAATTTAAGCAAAGAGTTGGAATTAGTTAAAAAAATTTTATTTTTGTTGTATTAAAATACGTTGTTCCATTTCTGTCGTTATATATAATTTAGTTATGTTTACCGTTTTGTTTACGCGGAAATTTTTTTTTATGTTCGCAAAACGATCAAAAGTTTTTGATTGTAGTATGCTTAACTTATTTTATGCTACGTTTAATATTCAATATAATCTTACTTTAGTTTACATTACGGCACTATGCTTGAATCGATCGCTGGTAAGTAGGCATGTTTAAATTGAATAAGACACTTTAAATTAAAAACATAACAATTGGAGATGGTCGAAAAAGTGGTCCGATCCGAAGCGTTTTCAATAACGATCAACCTTGGGCCAAAAACGTGCACTGCCAAATAAAATTGGGCCAATATAATAAACGCGAGCTTATTAATGTCCTTCTTAGTCCGCACAAACTTAATGCACGTGTGCACCGTAAGTGAGGCAGTGTGCAAAAGCTGATTTTCCGAAAGCATTTGATTTTACAATTTCTAATGTAAGAATAGTTTCTCTTTTGCTAATCATTTCTAGGCTTCTTTCATAAAGATTGGAGGACTTAAGTTCTTCATAATCGTGAGGTGAGATGTACTGCACCACATAAAATTAATTAATTAAATCAAACCAATTGCAGTAACTGTTATCTACATCTACTATTTAATATAACATAAGTAAGCAATTCCGATTTATAGTTTATCTTGTCGCTAGGCTCTAGTCTTCAATTGATTGTAAAAGTAAAGATTGGAAAGCTCGTGTGGAAGAAAGCTTCATAGCTACTTTCTGAGGTTACGTTTTGAATTTTGTTTTAGATCCTTCGATGTTTCAATTTATCCAACATCCATAGATTACATCAATCGTTTTCTCAAAGCGCAAATTTGATCGAGTGATAGGATCTCGTTAGCGCAAGAACTGGTATTATACGTGGTTTACACGTTCCAAACCGTATCGAAAAGTATGTCGACTTTCATTGCAAAATTAAAGCCATTTCTACACACTACTGCTCCAACGGAAACAATTCAATGTAAGCAGGGTTGTTTACTCTATCCGCGTTTTTACCGCCTGCATGAAATTAAAAAGTAGACAAAGTGGATGTCCGAGTTGAGGTCTTCTAAGCGAAAGGAAAAAGAGATTTGGCGCAAATTGGATGATTTATTGAACAGGTGAGCCCCAATCCCGAAGCTGAAAATCACAACTCGCTCCTCGAGACATGATTAGTCCCTGAGTACCAGATAGAGATATGTTACGCGAGGGCTACCTGATAGTTTTCCCAACCGCTTGTAGAACAAATCTGCAGAGAACAAACGTTCCTCCCACGATTCTGTGTTCTCAAATAATCTGGGATAGTTAATGAATTTTGAAGGATGGAAGCTGTTGCAAGAAAACTAAGTCGTTTGATCAGTGAATGCATACTGTCATGTATGTCATTTAATCGACATATGCTGAGTTTTATTTTTTGCTTCTCAAACGGCAGTAGACAAGCAGACATCCCGATGGACCGATGGATATAATAAAACCGATTCAACATTGTAGCTTAGTCAAGAAAATATGTATTTTAAGCGGTCTCTTATAATTTCTCTCTGGGTGTTACAAGGCAAAGGGTGAGTAAGGTGAACACATTAATCTATCTGGTGTAAGATATAAAAAATAAACGATTATTAATATTTTCTAAGAAATTTAATTTCAAATCTCACCCCTCCTAACTGAAATATGCTGCGCCCTCGCTTGCATTCCCTATAATCAATAAATATTTTTATATTCATTTAGCATGCCCGTCGTTCACAGACGAACAGCGCAACGATCAGAATTGTAAATCAAAGTTAATTATTTGAGTAGTTAAGTGTTAAGTATTGTCGTTAAATGCAACCATTGCTTTGAAGCAACATTTTTTTTTATTATTTCTCTGAATTATACAACAAGAAAAAAATCATAAATTAAATTGGCTTGGGTTCGATACGTGTAGTCGATTGCTTATTTGTTCTGTACACAAATAAGGATAAACAAAATCTTATTTCATTTAACAAAATTTTTCAGATTTTTTTTCGGGATATGCACACCTTATCAAACAGAAAATCCAAATTTGAATTTGCACAATAAGCGTCTGGTTTATAACATATATATAACATATAGATGTTCCAACATTTTGTTCAAAGTTGAGATTAGGAGCCTCTTGGGAATCTTTATCTGTTATCATTAACATGCTTGCTCTTCATTCTCGTTATTTTTAAGGGCAAAGATTCTGTTAATAGATACTTGATATGAGGCCGCATTATTTCAAACGTTTGCATAACAGAAGCACATACAATTCAGCATTTTTAAGTGAGTATGGGTTATGGTGGATGTACGTGTGTATGCGCGAAAAAGGACCAAATATAAATTTTTTTTCATCGCTGCCTTTGAAGAATTGAAGAATTCTAAATTCCATGTTCCCGTTGTTTTGAGAAAATTTCGTTTACAAGTTTTCATATAAAGAAATATAAAGAAAGATAATACCAATTTTCAACAAAATGTTGGAGCATCTATGTATTTCGTTGTCTCTCATGTTACCAAAAAAGCAAATAAGAGAATAGAACTTCGCACCGGAAAAAAAAGTAAACGTCTTTCTCTCGCTACCTCCATTCAGTGTAAATGAACTTCATGCACGTATTTCTTATGATCATTTTATTCGGATATTATTTCTCGCTTGAGAGAAATTATTAGCCTACACGCGTATATATACACACATAAAGAGAAAGAGAGAGAACGGGGGAAACACCCAGAACATGAGCAAAAAAGCTGAAATGAGAGAGAGAGAGAGAGTGAGAGAGAGCCTCAATAAAATTAAGAACGTAAATTTTCCAATATATAAATTCAGTAAACGAACGATATGAGTTTTAGTTCAATACGACTATTTGATAAAGTTCAAGTTGTTTAAAAAGATTTAGTGGACGTGAATTGCATATAAATAACCAGTTTCGTGCCTTAAGTCTTTCTATTTCGCTAAAGTGGTATTTGACAGCGATTGTTTTGGTAAATTGCAAACAAACGTGTATAAATAATTAAACGTATGTACACATATACTTTCCTACAATTTTGAATTCAGTTTAATATCGGTCATTGCCTACCTATCTCAGCGAGTAAAGTTGCGCATGCGTCTGTAGTGAAATCAGTTTGTGTTGAATAAAATAGAGTTGTGGTCCATTTGCTTAAAGTTTTTTTTCAAAAAACAATAATTTTTGATTTTTTTTGTGGATGTCGATAATAATTTAAGAAACAACAGAATGGCCTAAGACAAAGAAAGACCGGCTAGCAACTCAATGGTCATGGGTTCAGATCTCAAGTGCGGTAGAGTTTTTAATAAAAGCTATAAGCCTTAGATGCCAGTGTTTTAAGACTTTAATCTTGAAGTCTATTTCATTGGTTAACTTAATAATAATAAGAAACGAAATTAATGTTAAACCTTAACTCCGTTATGTGTGTCTGTGTATGACATTTGGGAAAGTTAATGGAATTCCTCTTTGGCAGTATGCGAATACGTTTTAAAGTGTGAAATATTTCTTAGCCTTTCATCAATATCCAATTTAATTAATTTATTATTATTATTATTATTATTATTATTATTTTAATTTTAGACTAATGAATTGAATTCTTAGACTAAAAAAGGAGACATTGAGCATTTTGAAGAATTCAGAGCTATTCCGTAGGTAGATACAATGGAAGAATTTAAGATTAAATAAAGGTTTTAAGTAAACAAAGATTAAATCAAGGTTTTAAATAAACAAAGATTAAATAAACCTTTTAAGTGAACAAACATTTTCATGTTGTCAAATTTCTGCTAATTTTGTGAATTGCGAAATAAAGCAAGCGTTTAATACGCAATTTAATGTTGCACAAGATTTCGCGCTGATTAAAGAACAACATTAGTTTTTGAGATTCCATGTCTAAGCACAAAGGAAGAAAATTGACTATTCTCTGATAGCTAAAACTATATCTATATATAACATAGCACGAGGGCATAAAATCATAATGTCTTGCCAATTGCCTATGTATTTGAAAGAAAACAATTAGAATGAAGCGTAATATTTCATAATACTTAAAGCAATATCAAAAAAAGTACATACGTACGAAAGTACCAAGCATATTTTTGATACATTTATATAAAAAAGAATATATATTACATTTCAACCAAACCATTTGTTTGAATATATATGGAAAGAGAATATTCTTTTTTTTTTTTGAAAATAGGATAAAATCGAATGCCACGCCTATAAAAATTGTATAAAACTATTCAGGAGACGTACAAGGGGGGATGAATGCTCTTTTTTTATACAATTATATATATAGAATTATATATTATATAAAACCACTTGTACAAATATATCGAAGAATTAACAGGAAATAGTCAAAAATATGCGTAAGAAAGCAAACAAAAACCTTGCAGTTATCGAAATTTTCAAAAAGAATTTAATGAATTTAAAAAAAGAAATATTTAGAAATAAATGTTATGTTCTCATATTTTTAGTAACAGGCATGCAAACGTAATATGCTTGGTAAGCGTAACAGAAATTATGGATATCTGTGTCTCATATTTTTGTGGCCTCTACAGATTCATATAAGGAAAGAGTCGGAATTACAATCTACTGTTAAAAAAAAACATCTCCAGAGAGTAACGGACCTAGAGCAATCGGTATTAAGCGTTACTAAGGCTTATCAATAATAATTTCTGAAATGTGACTTTTTTGGTCTGGTTTTAGAAACATTTAACAAGTCCTTGCGACTGTGTAAGAAACCTACGTAATTACCATATAAAATTAATTTTGAAAAGCGAATATAGTTCTCTTCTCATTGCTTTTTATACCCTACACAACTTGAGATACCCGGCTATATTAACTTTGCGCCATTGTATGCAACACCCAGAAGAATTTGAAATACACTCACTTTTCATTGCACATTTTTTTGTGTTCAATCTACTGGGCGCCTTTGCACACTGACGTGTTTTCCGCTCAAAGGCAAACGCTATCGAAAATAATTCGGGCCATTTTTTCGACCACCTCACGTGTACCGCCCTATTTTTAAGAGTCGTTGTATGTGGAACTATATCGTGGTGCCGGGTATTTAATGTTAGGCCATGGCGCACTATAATCTTTTTGCTTGCTAATTATATGAAATTAAAAAATCCTTTTAAGGTCGACAGGGTAAGGTAAGCTTTGTTGTAGATGACTACATTTAATATATTTATATGAACTGAACTGAACTATATATAACTCAGTACATAGATACTAAAGCTAAGAGCTAAGTAGAGCATTAAATGACAACGAACACCATAACTAAACTCATATTAAACCTAATCCACAGCACTTGATGGAATAAAATGTAAAACTTAGTCTAATAAGCGCTTTTTAATGGACCAGCCTAAGAAGATGAAATTAAGTCGATAGGCTTGCCAAATATTATTATTATCTATTTGCAATTTAAATGCAATGATTGAAATTATGAGTCCCAAATTTCGCCCTAAGACGAATTGAGCAGTTTGTACGTCACGCAGCAGCGATTAGAGAAAACCGCTTCAACCAGAAGAAATAAGAAAAATCATCAAATTGTTTATAGAAAACCCGGAAAGGAAAAAATAGTTCAAAATTATTCCCGGATTGAGGCATCCGAAGTGGAAGGAAATTCCATGAAACTCTTGAAGGAACATTAAAATCCAGACTACTGAGCAAGAATGGTGGTGAGCTGTTTCCTTGAGTAAGTTTAATCAAAAAGCCTATTGCAAGGATCAATCTTCTTCACTCGAGACTAAGTAAATTGATTAGAAGCGAACGATGCTCAAACGGAAGTAATCCTATTTGTATCCAATCCCAGTCCACGCAGTGAAAATAAGAGAATTTGTTTTTGAATTTTCTTGATCATGTCAACGTAATAATTCTAATTAGGAGACCAAATGATAGACGCATATTCAACTAAGGCCCTCAAAACAACCAATATATTTTGCACAAGTTTTTCAAAGAGCTTAGGTGTTACGGAAAGTTCTTATAATATTAAGTTACTAATTGGCAAAAAATCAAATATTTGTACATACTATTAGGAAACAAAATGGAAATAACATGGTCTTCGCTGCCTTCGTCTAAAAGGCGGGCTTTATTATAGTTACCTGCCAGTTATGCTGTAAACTAAAATTGTGTAGATGCCCGCAATAAATTCATTTTCGCCTGTACAGCGCGACGTATATGGGAAACAAAAATACAAAAAAATGTTAACATTATTTGAAATGAAGAACCGACTATTGTTCGTTATTGTTCATCTTATGCGCAAAGCATTTCTTTGTATATCCTTAATATTTAATAACAGTATAATATACGCTGGATATAGTTCCTACCATGATGCAAACACTTTAGATTATGGAAACTTCCTCTGTATCGATATAGGGATTTTTTTTTTTTTTAATTAACAAGCATCGGTTATGTAAATGAAGTAGTTTGATCGATCGTTCGATAAATTAAAATAAATTAACATGTTAGCAACATTGTAAACTTAATATTAATCTTTCTCTGGGATGAACTAACACAAATGTCGTCTATAAAACAATTTCCTAGGTTTGAGATCGAGAACAATTATCAGCTTAATTAAAACTTCGTTAACGCTACGCCATCTATGTGTCGACATTGTATTTTCTACACCAGAGTCGACATTATATAATTTAAAATAATAATGGGTAAAAAAGAAAAAACTAGGAGTGCAAAGGGTTAAGACTATAATTGCTTGAATAAGAGCAGTTTTCAGATTGCTTTACTTTTACATTTTTAACTGGACAAGTGAAATAAATCTTAAGCTAAAGTTAAATTACAGAAAGCTCCCTATCACGCAATAGGCCTAGTGGTCTCTTTGTCATAATTATGTATATGAAAATAAAACAGATTTCCGGAAATAAGTTTAACATTCAAAACAAACAAGAACAGAAAAGCGGGGCGCTGCCCACCATTAAATACCTCATTCTACCCTACAGTTAGTCATATATTGACGTTCCGAAACAAGGCATTATATGGCAAGTAATTGAAAAAATTGTCCGATCCGAATCGCTTTCAATAGCGATCGTCCTTGGCGAAAAACCTTTCGGTGCATCAAATGTCATAAAAATATCAGCAAAACTGCAGTCTATAGATTAAACATACGAAAACAACGCAGAAATTCTAAATCGATCCTTATAATAAAAAGTGGGTCTACGTCGAGTTCTTCTGGGTGTTGCATACGTCCGCACTAACTTAATATACCCTGTATAGCATGTGGCGTAAGATATAAAAAGTACGAAAGATCTTGTCTGACTTACGTGCAAATGAAGTATTTATAAAATTTTTTTTTAATTAATATTTTATTATTATTAATAATAATAATAATAATAATAATAATAATAACGGTAATTAATTTACAGTTAAATGGAAATTGCAATGTAATTGAAATGAAATTAAACTCAACTGAAGCAAAATGCAATCACCCAACATTTTTTCCAAAATATTTTTGAAATCAGTTGACGTAAAGACGTAATCGTTCCCCAAGAAATAACTGTCGAAGACAATTTGCTTATTAGTCGCCGCAACAAGGTTAGCTACACAATTTGCAAAAGAGATGATAAAAAAAGAAGTTTTTAATAAACGTCACAAATAGTCTCAAGTAAAAAAGCGACAGTAAGACAATCCTGCGAGAAAGTGTTATAGTAAAGACTGAAAACAAACTGCCTAAAGAGTAACAATAACAATAATAATAATCATTTTTGGTAATCTCAATAAAATTCTTTATTTCTTTATAGATTAACAGAAGTCCCAAAAGCAAGATGAAAACCGTCATGTGTATTACCATTCTGGGGGCCGTAGTTTTGGCCACCTCGGCTTCAATAGTGAAAAATTGCGCCAAATGTAAGTCGTATTACATTACAAAAAAACGAAAAAAATAGTTGTAGTGAAATTGTCATCATTTCAGCTAAAACTCATCTGATTGATGAACAAAATGATGTAAACATATCGAATTGCCCTAAAAATAAATGTTCGCTGAAACGTAATACTGACACTCTGGTCGAAATCAAATTAAAACCAAAACGTGACTTTAAGGAACTCAATTCCGATATCCAGGGCATAATATTAGATGTTCCCATACCGTTTCTTGGCTATTACGGTACCAGTGCTTGCCCTCATATTTATGATGCCGAAGGTAAAAATAAGGTTGGCTGCCCCTTGAAAGCAGGCGAAACTTACCTCTACAGAAATAGTTTTAAAATATTGCCTGTTTATCCGACCGTCAGTCTAGTGGTACATTGGGGTTTGGGCGATAAAGACGATGATGTCGTCTGTTTCGAAGTGCCAGCGAAAATTAAAGCTTAATTTTAAATGTTAACCTTAATATTAATGTGATAAAATTTAGAAATAGAATCTGAGAGCTTTTTTCTAGAAGCATGTAAGATATTTGCCTTTTTTTTTAATAACATACATACAAAACATAATTGTTCTTTTGATATGATTTTGTTATTACATATATTGATGCCTCCAGCCTTGGCATCAATATTTATATAACGAAATATTTATTTTTACAAAAGTTTTTTTCGTTTCTGTACATTTTAAACAAATAGTTACTAAAGAAAGTTCGAGGGAAAAATTAACAAAAAATTATATATGAATAAAATGAAATAACAAAAAAAAAACAAACAAAAAAAAACGATTGAAAAATTTACATCGGTTTGTCGTGTTTATAAATTGTGATGAAATTTGTTATTCTTTTTCAAATATTTGCGTACAGTGCAGAGTGAGATAGAGATTAGAATGCCTGGTGTACACATCCATATATATTTACATGTTTCAGGTTATTTTTGTTTTTTTAAAACATTTCCGGTAGTTTCTACAGATTTTTTTTATATTTAATTTATTTTTATCTTTTTTCACAGATTTAATTTATCTCATTTTCCATTATTTCCGCTTCCGCTTTCTGATCATTTTTGATAGAAGGATGCTGTGACAACGCGTTATTTCCATTATTTGCCAGATATGTTGAAGTTATATATTGATACAGAGGGAAACGCACCCAACTTTGTCCACGCTTCGGCCAATCATTATTATATTCTTTCGTTCGGAACGATTTCATCGCTTGAGTTTTTATATTTTTATTTACTTGCTTTAAAAGTTCATTTCTCACATATGTTTGCTCTACCGGCACGGATGGATTTATTTTACGTTTACCGTGTGTTTCTAATGAACGTTCCAAAGGCATATCTATGTCACTTGCGCCTGCACCATAGTTGAGCTGCAAATAAAATATTATTTCAAACCAGAACATTATGTAATATTAGTAATTCACAACGTTATACCTTTCGATCGAGCTGATCTTTAAGAGCATTTAGATTAGGAAAATCAATTTTAACCGTTGGTAGATTTACATCGCTACGAAATATGTTTGTACGGCCTGAACGTTTGCCATGAGCTAGAAAGTAAATTCAATTTATTTGGAAAAAAAGAAAACAAATTGAATCGGGGGAAATCGCTTATACCCAGCACCTTAAGGCAATATATATCGCAAAAAAGGGAATTGTGTTTGAGGCTTGAGGTGATTCCATCAATATCAAACACTAACCTCCTACTTCGCTTTGGTAAAATGTTTTTTAATATTTAATTTATTTGATGTTGGGACTTAATCTGATGACAGCAATTAGATAGATTAGAAGATTAGACGATATTTCTTATATTAAAAAATTCGAAATAAATTCGTTTTCCGAGTTGAAGTTTTGAAGGGAAGGGGAAGGACGTATAGACAGACACCGCAGTACAGATGCAAATCGTTTCCGCTATGTAGGCCTGTTGTATCATGGCGCCGATGCGAATTTACCCGTTTTACCATTATTTAGCATAACCTCTAAGATAGGTATACAGATTCTGGAGTGCTCCACTAATTAAGGCCAATGTAGTTGAACGAGCTGAGCAAATTTTTTCGAAATATTTAAAGTCCTAAAGATTTTCAACGGCTACTTGCTATTGTGTGCGTTGTTTTAAATTTGGCGACGTTTGATAAACCAGAGCTAGGAGATTCCTACACGAATTCGATGATGTTTGCTAGCAATCTATAAAAAAGACGAGGACCGTTTTTATTTATCTGTGTACGCAAACAAGGGAAAGCACGGTTTTTGAGGCTTCAGCAACTCAAGAGAATTTGTCGAACGGCCTTCCCAACCACATGGAGTGAGATGTTGTTGTAGTTTTCGTTCTGGCAGTCTACTTGGTGCACATATTTTCGAAGATGATTTGCGTTATCGAACGATGTCGACTGTGATTTTTTGGCTTAAACTTGATGCAGATGGATGTGGACAATGTTTATTTTATATTATATTATTATTTATAAAAGAGTGGCGCTGTCTACTACACAGCCCATCTATTGCGCGATTGTTAGCTGTTGTTGAAAGATCCTATATTTGCACCAAAAGTTTTACGATTGCTTTGTGTAGAAGCATTTACTTTTTGACTATATAGGGAGCCAGTTGTTGAGCTAATCGCGCTTATTGTTAGCGCATTCTCAATCACTTTGCTATCACAAAAGAATGTTTGCTTCAAAGCACTAACTTTGTATCGCAAGTTTTTCGGATATAAGTTTGAACAAAGGAAGGGAGACCGACGGACGATGCGCAGACATTGGACAATTTACATAGTTAAATTCATTTAGCATATTACACTGATAAAGAATACATATAGAAACGTTTTTATATGCGTACAGTTTTCAAATGCCTAACACATACTTCTGGTTGGCAAACCTCATTCACCTCTCAAACCTCTCTGGGTATAAACATAATATATTACATTATGCATGGAAAAGCACTTACCTCCCCAACATGAGTGACCATATTCCAGGCAGGAACCTGTGAATATCAATGCAGTTCAGTTATTTTTTTTGCAACGATCGTTTTATTAGAGGAGTAATAAAACTGTAGTTGCATAGGAGCGAATATTTTCCTTACGTCTTCACAAATTTCTAGACTTAATAGAGCATTCATTCCATAAACAGAATTTAAAACAAACTCTTTGCTTGACAAAATGAGATGCAGTAAAAACCGAAAAACTGACATTTCTATGTTTATAAAAACGCGGATAATGCTGCATATATGTATATATGTATATGTATACTACTCAGAGTGTACAAACATATTACGTACTCACAAAAAAAATAATTTCACTATTTTATACTTAGAGCAAACTTTAAATAGAAAATTCATCTTATTTTTTGATCATAGCATCTAAATAACAGTTTATTAATTATTTTAACAGTTTAATGGAAATACCTGTTGTGTGTGGTATTTGCGAGCGGAAGTTTCTAAACGAACATTAGCCACCTATTAAATCATATTTAGAGAGTTAGGTCAACAGTTATGTAACAAATACGCAAAACTACTCGCTGCAACATTGTAAGAAAATTTGCAAAGTTTCACACAACTTGTCTTATGCGCGTGTACGAGAATGTTTTTATAAATTTGTTTTTATGGTAATTTAGTTTTTAAATTTGAAGAAAGGATGATATTACGTAACTTTATTATAATATTTTTCTTCATGGGTTTGTTCTCTCTTTTCGCCCTTTTTTTTTAAAAGCACAAGCCGATATGCTTGGAAGCGATTATGGAATCATTAGCACTGATAACGTATAAAAATATTATTTGCAATATAGGAAGAATTTTCGGTATTCATCATATGAGTTCGATTTATTGTTCTCAATATCGAGAGCAAACTCCATAGCTTAGGGTAATAATGGACTGCCTGCAGGGAGTAGAGAGTTTGCAGTTCTCGATAAAGTATGCATTTTTTTAATATCGAATGAAAAACCTTTCAATCGAGTTTGTTTGGGAACAATAAAGCGACTTTAGAATTAGAAGCAAATGGGGTATGTTTTTGAAACACTGTTAAAACTTGTGGCATTCTATTTGCATAAATTGGTATTTATTCTAAACTCAAATTAAATTGTTTGCAGAATATATAAATTATGGAACAAAATATTTTGCAATTTTTGCTTCCTTTGAGAATCAGCAATCTTTGACAAATATTCTGTTTTTCAACTCGATCTAGAGAATAGACAAGTGAATGTCGAAATGATTAAAAGGATATGTTGATATGAAAGGGGGAAAAGCGATCAACGAGCAAACAGAGGAGGGATGGGCGGTAAAAATACCAGACGGGTAAATTGATAACAAACAGACACTCAACTTCATGAAATGACTTTGACAATTTGAATAGAAGACGCAAAATAAATTGACGGACGGATTGGAAGACATACAGATAGGCGGGCGGATGTTGCATGAGTCCATTCATCTTGACTGAAGTCATGTACATTTTAAATGAACATTAATGCATACTTCACGATGTTACAAATGAACAAGGCAACTTATGTACCCCTCTTCTGTCGGAAATCGCTAAGAAGTGCAAGTTGTATCAGCAATAATAGCTACTATGAAAAAAGCTGGTTAAGAAATGTGTGTTAAGAGATAAAAATGCGTCGGCAAAAGGTAAACAAGCACTATATATATACTTTTGTTTGACTTGACATACGCATCAGTCTTTTGTTAACGGAAGGCAAAAGAAGCCTTAATAATAAAAATTAAACACCCATTACGAAACTTTATATATTTTATAATTATTATATGGTTTTTTTATAAGTGTATGATGATGCGAGAGTGTGAAATTTCCTATTGGGAGTTTTGAATAAATGCAACTAACAAATACAAAGTTTTCATACATCTTAGACCGAAACTTAGATAACCACTATCTGAAGCACATATATGTCGAGAGCAATAGTTGTTGTGAAGAGTTCGAACGTTGAAGAAGCATAGATAAATATTTCGTGCCTACTTCAGAAGGATATGTCTTTTAAATTAACTACTAACGTCATCTCACTAGTAAGTTTTAACTTAAGACCCACAATCATTTTTAGACGTTTTCCTTCGTGAATTTCGGCAGTTTTTTTGGAAATGATCAGTACACCTAAACTAAAAAAATGTCTATTCCTGTTTTGTTAGCTTCAACTTTTTAAATGAAGTATCATCAATAACCAATAGACAAGCGGACGGTTGAGTGAATAGCTGAACGGTGCTTGGACTGATGACGGATAAATGGATGAACGGCCAAACGGAACTTAATCTACATAGAATCTAATATAATTTCCTCAAGACATTTCTAACGACGATGAAAAAATCTAGTGTACCTCCACCCTTTGTTCGTGACAATAGCTTTTAACATATAACAAAACGAATAACAAGCTGTGCTGTTACCTGTTGCTACATACATATATAATGAAAAAATAACCTGAATAAACCAAATCCATGTGCAGCACATTGTTATTTAGACAATTACTGGCACATTTTTACTCACACGTCTAACTGCTTATAATGTGTGCATCTGCGGAACATAATCATGATATATGTGCTTAGGCATGGATCGTTGCCATTATAATATTAAAATTTTTCAAGAGAATGATGCTAATCAAATACACATATATACTTGTTATTCTTACATATGCTTCGCCGTTTCGTACGTAAGTTAAGGACATGTGCAAGCAGAGAAAAATTAAAGGCAATTGTCAGCATCTTGAGATATATTTATATAAATATAAAAGGAGGACTAACGCGCTACATTTACGTTACGGCGGAGTTAAAAGACAGCGAAAAAGAAGTATAGCAATACAAAGTACGAATATTGAAGAGGAGTAAGCAAGTATAAATTTCACTTCCTTCCCAGAAGGCCAAAAAGAATGTATGAAAGTCACGACCTATTTAGTGACGTTTTATTTATCATACTCATATGGCTATAAGTGGGGTTTGTTTGACTGATAAATTTTACTTTAACATCTAGCAGGAAAAAAAACGTTAACGTGGATAGAGTTATTTCCCAGAGAGCTTCAGATAACTCGCCCAAATTCTATTGATGAATTACTCGCGTACTACCAAATTTCCGTGAGTTTCTGCGAATGATTTGTGCATGTCTTTTAGTACCGGAAGGCTTTTGTCATTTTCGCTGACGACTATTTAATATTCTAAGGCGCGTTAACTATTGGCAGCATCTTCTTCATTGATTCTCCTCCGTCGTAAATGCCTAAGGGCAGTAAGTGCCTCGTGCAGGCGACATCGTCTCTTCTATACTTCCCCCTGCCTAATAATTTCCGGGTATGCGTTTGTACAATTTTCTTTCATCGCGTTTTCAACAGGATAGAAACCAAAAGGACCAACTAAGCCTCCTAATAATTTTCCCCTTGATACTTGCTTTTTTATTAAATTATCCATTTGCTACAAAGAGTCTTTTCCCTTCTACTTTCATTTGCAAGTATCTTATTGCTTTACAAGTTTGCCTCCAGATTTTTCGTGGCCGCTTTTAGTTGATCCTTTCATATTTCGAGGACATTTAGCTCGGCTGCGTCGGCTGTTTTGTCTGTTTGTAACGAGTCTTCATAGAGTTTCAGATGCTTCGATTATATCTTCCCAGTTTCATTAGCTACGTAATGCAGCATATTTTTTTATGTTTAGATATCTTTTGTGTGCGTAAGTTTGCCGGGAAATAGATTTACTTTTGAGGCCAGAATTAAGGTAGTTAGTCAGGAGCAAAATAGATATCAAAATTTTAGAGGAGTTTGGGCGATAATTGATTTAACATAACTTGCATTTAATCAGAAACCACACAATTGCGACATCAAAGATGAAATTTGTAGATAAGAAATTATTACTACATATATACACGGATTATTATTATAGATTGCTTTTGCTATTATTATTATATTATATTATATTATTGGCCACTTACAAATATGATCCCACGTGATCGAGCACCGTTTAAAAGTTGTCAAAAGTTGCCTCGTTTTTCAATAGCAATTTTCTTCTTTCAAGGGCAGGCGCAAACCAATAGACGACTCTGCCTAAATCTATTCTGATGGTTACGGTCTATTTTACGGTATGCCTTCGGCTTCTTCTGAATGTGGATATTAGTTTTAAGGAATTTTTTTCTGTAATAATTATCGCTTTTCGACAAGTGTGACAAAGTCTTCTAGGCAAGCCTATATTTTTATGAACAATATGACAAAACACACTTTCTGCGTTTCTATCGATAAAGGGAGAAAGAACTTAACTTATAATAAATAAAAAAAATTATTTTTTAACCATAAACTTAAAATAATTTATTTTTGTTAAAGTGGTGGTTTTACCTGTCCATCACTGTATATTTTTAATTAAACATTTTAGTAGCGAATTTTTAGATGTTTGTAAAGAATGGAGTTAGGTCATTTTCAAAATAAACGCAACAGTTTCCACAGGTTTTATTTACATTGTGCAATTTTATGTGTTAAACGAATTTGATGATTGACGCTGGTTTTTTCCATTTGCATTTCGCAACAAACACAGCCTGACTAGTTCTCATGACATGTTTTACAACCGTGTTCACAATCTTTCAAATGGTATTTATTTATGGTTGTTTTCTAGTTCGCAAGAGGATTAATTTACGATAGCAATTAAATCCAATGATAAGCTTACTGCACCTCTACCTAGCATATAATATCGCTAGTCTAATCATTTTTATGAATATGGAGACAATTCTCACATATCCTAATTTTTTTTTTTTTTGTTTTTTTTCGGGTTACATGTGACTACGTTCATTTTACAGTTAAATTAATCTAAAAAGTCATCGATTGTTATGCATTGCAATGAATTAGCGAAAATTCTACACTTTATCTGTTTAAGGTAAAGGTTTAAACTTCAACGTAAATTCAGTTGGCCGGTGATCGTAGGTTTTTGATAACTTAATCATATACATCCATGTATTGTCGTTAAGGAGGAGAAGCCATTGTGACATTTTCGGATACATTTTTTTTTTATGTGTCTAATAAAGTATGTGA